TTTAGAACTCTGTCAGAGAGGATTCTGCCTTTTCCCCAGATTCTAACATACTAAATTATCAACTCCTAAAATTAGAATGGTACTTAAAAATAATAACTATACTTAATTTTGTATAAAAGCAAGATGACATACTTCCTAATTAAAAAAAAAAAAAAAAAAAAAAAAAAAAAAAAAAAAAGATTGCTTTAAAATAAGAGAAATTCCATTGTCTCATACCTGTATAGGGAACTTCTGCAAAGTAAAATCCTACCACAAAGCTCTTAGGTTAGATACTATTAGGTTAGATACTAATAGAACACCATTAGGTTAGATAGTCACCAAGCATACACCTTTCAAAATCATCCAGAAAGTGCCCACTAATTTAACTTACAGAGAAGGCATGAGCTGAAAGCATTTAGTCAGATGTTGGGCAGCATGAAGTGCTAATGTGTGTACAAGACCAAGACGTAAGCAGAATAAAAGAGAAAGGTGATGGCATATGTTTCCAGAGAGACAATGTCAAAAATACAAATGTCCACTTGACAGTAAACCCATGTATTGGCTTCTTAGATATTTTCCACCTACTCCTAGAAAACTCATGTGGCTAGTCATCCCTGGTAGAAAAGGATCAGAGTAATGGCAAGAAAAATGTGCCACTGCAAACCAAACTGTCTGACACACTTTAACAAGGTTAGGCAGGTTGATAACAGTATTAGCGCTTTGCAAATAAGTATTGCTCCACCCGTGGGTGGAGCTATGCCCAGAATAATGGCAACAGGACATTTGTGGGGAAAGTTCAAGCAAGACAATGGGACGAGACATCTCTTCCTCACACCATTTTTTTTTCAGTCTGCTTTTAAAAAGCTAGAAGCTGTGTTTGAAAGCCTGGAAGACTTATGACTACTGCTAGCATTTGTGTTTGCTCATGGCAGACTATTTATTTTGAAAAGTACTGCTTGTTAAGTAAATAAAAGACAATATAATTTTGGCAATTACTATGTTTACAGGGAGCTGGATACAAGGTGAAAGTCACTGGCATTCTTGTTGAGCTAGCTGATAAAATGTGACCTGAAATAATGTGTTACTAGAGAAGTCATGCAAAAAATTCCTTGACCCAGTATACTGAGACCATGTCCTCATTGTGAAGAGAGCAATATTCATACTGTGGCAGACTAATATGTGTGTATCATAAAATACTGAACAAGCAAATAAAAGCAAGATAACTGCAACTTCTTGGGATGACTTTTGGACAGCAGTTTATCAAATTTACATGCAAAACAGCTCACTTCTTTTAGAAACCTTGAGTCTGAAAAAAACCCCACTTTTCAAGCCCCATCAGGTACTACTTTGCTGGCTCACTTGGATTCTCATAAAGGGTGAGTTGATTTAGAGCATCATTGAATTCAATAGAAAATAATAAAACTGAAATCAGTGTTACTGTTGCAATGCAGCAAAGACAATGACCAAGACATTTAAAGTAATTAATTTATCAGAAACTGACAGTTTTTAAAACAAATTGTATGACTGAATTAAAGCTTGGATAATGGGGACTGACTGATTAGCAACTTCTCCCTTTCCACCAATATTGTGGCAATCAAAGGTCTACTTGGCACTTGGGAGAGCATCAATTAAATTTTTGATTTTCAAAATGATTCTAAATTATTTGAATCTGGGTTTTCAATATGATATGTCAGTATAAAGATCATTGTCTACACTAGATTCAGAAGTATGAATGTAAATCTTGAGTATATGAAAGCTCAGCTTGATTTTAATTTCTTAGTAGGCTTCCAAATCAAACATTTCTTTGAGATGTCAAATTCTGATTTACTAGCCAACATCAATAACAGAGTCAGAAAATCATATGAAAGTTACCAGGTTTTGAAGCTTCATCACTGTGAAAAGATTTCTTCTGCTACCACTCAGGTGTTCTGTGCTTCCCTCCTCGCTGCTGTAAGCCATACCATGCCCATATTATGCCAGTGAGCATGCTAATTATTAATTCAAACAATAAATGCAGTGCCCAACTTGAGCTTATACCCTGCCTTTGTGTAATTTGTTAGTACAGTAAACTTAGAAAAGAGAAGCATGCAAAAAAGACACAGGGAAAACGACACAGATCCATAAACCTAGTTAGAAATATATAATTTTGACTCATATATTATTTTTCTCAGGTTTCTGTTGAGCCTCTATGAAGCCATATTTTACTGATCTTCTTATAGAAAAGAACATGTCTAAAAAAAGTGGCCATGCAAATTTATCTGGCTTTATTATTAAGAAAGTAGTATTCAATATTAATAAATAAGTAATCAGACACTGCTTGTTATACTTTGGGTAGAGGTGAAATATAAATATTGCCCCTATGAACGCACTAAAGAACAGGGGTTTATATTTTTTTTCAACTACAAATGCCCAAATACTCAGAGTCTTGACATGGAAAAGCACAGATACATGGAGGAAGCGACTTGCACCTTACCTGACACACTGGAATAAACTATGTGATGATATATTTTTATGTCTATGGAATCCAGCATGGTTCGAAAAAGGCCTTTATCTCAGATGTGTTCGAGAAAGCTTAGTGTTCACCCCACAGAGTGGTTGTCTGAGTTTTCACCATTATTCTGAAGCACTTGTTATTCTCCTTTCCAACCCTTTTTTTCTCCCTGTTTCATTCCTTGTGCTGGCATGTATTCATATGGATTTTTTTAAACTGTTATTAATTACAGATGATGTTTCTTCTTCACACTTGACCGCAAAACCAGACTGAAATGGACATTTATTGAATGGAGATGCAATGTAGTGTGCTACCAGTTCATGTGCTGCTCAGGTAGGTTTTGAGACCTTCCTTCTCCATCTACTGATCCATAATTTATTAAGTTAGGAACTCTATTAAAAAACTGAAACTATAGCTCAGCAGCACTAATTGCCACTTCTATCATTAGAACTGATTCATTCTCCCTTGATGCAACCAAACCAAAGAATAACATAACATAGAAATCTTACCCTCCATAAGACAGGCAGATAGTTACCACTTCTTACAAGAGAACTCTTGCAAAAACTAAGCAGATACAAAATTATGAAAAAGAGCAGATAACGTTGGTATATCCCAAGGTTGTGAGTATGCTTGCTTATTTAAATTATGATGAAAATATTGGGAGGAATAAGAAGGTAACCCAATTTATCATATAGAGATTTTTTCCAAGACACCAGCTTTGTTGCAAGGAGTTTGAGGTCAGCTGAATGGTGCTAAGAAAACACAAGCTTCTGGATAGCCCATTGCACTGGAGAAAAGGAGGAATAAGGTTTCAAAATGCATTTCCAGATGCTATGTTGAATCACAATCTCCATGGAGATAGACTCACATGAGACATTTGTGTGTCTGAAATGAAGTACAGCAAAACACAGTTCATTTCTTTTGTCAAGTGAATAACAGACAGCTCATTTATCAGGAACAAGCACAAACCTCACAGGATTATTGCTTTGACACTAGAAGCAAAAGTAAAACATTTAGATAGAGCACAGGTAGTAAAATGCTGTGGAAATTTGAGCCTGTCCAAGTGCTCTAGAACCTGTTTGCAAAAGACAGATGTTTGTAGAGTTCTAGCCAAGCCCAGATGAACCAAAATTTTTGAGACATGGTGATAAAAATGAGCACTTGCTGTCTATATAGGCATATACAGGAGGGAAAATGCCTACTTTTCACCCAATTTTCAAAAATATGAAAAAGATGAAACAAACTGTAAAAATGAAAGAATAGATCAGAATTCAATGGAAATAACAAAAACATGAGTGAGGTGACATAGTATTTTTGTCTTCTTTCCATGGGGGTTCAAATCCACTAAAACAAAAGTAGGAAGCACAAGTACTGCAGAAGCAGAAATAATATCTGACCGGATTATTAAAATAAAATTTTACAATACTCTGCTGATAGCATATATTCACAAAATGAATGCTTTTACCATTTGTTAGAAATGCATGTGTATGCACTCAAAGAAAAATCTAAGTCTGTAATATAGATAAGAAAGAACTTTTAGAATATCTTGATTATCACAGTCATAAGCAATTCTCTATTCAGCATAAAAGAAAGAACAATATTCCATTAGTAAAAAGGTCTTAGGTAAACTAACAAAGTTATCTTAAAGATAAATCTCAAGTTATATATATCATAGTTTATATTTCAAAATACTAGTGGGCAGATGTACACTGCTATTATGATTATCTTGGCTGACTCCTAATATGAATACAATCTTCTTCAGTGATTTCTTAGACTTCTTTTCATTTTTTTTCCTTATGATTTTTAAAGATACCTTGAAATAAAGTCAATAAATGTAAACATTTTTTGTGTTTCTTTAAATTGCTGTCTTTGGCTGCAGTACTGAAAGCATTAATTGCTGCATTTACTCCTGTCCAATCTGCACTCCTTCACAATTATTCCCATGAACAAGGGTATATTTCTCTTCTTTCCTCTGTATTCATATCCTTAGCCAGCATCTACTTTTACCTATTACTGATCTCTACTTCCAACCTATTTTATTTGATAAAGCAGATTACTTTGAATAAATAATGTGTTCACGTTCAGCCTTCCTCTTGTAGATTATTCATACAAGGACAATTACAGCTTTGTCTAATTTATTTGGATTTGGAAGTATTTACTAATTTTGTGTGAGAAATTTTCACCCTATTGCCTCGTCAGGAGCCTTGATGATGTTTTGAATTAAGTCTGGTGTTGATGGCCTAAAGCCAAATGTAGGAGAGTGAACCAAAAGTAAAGTAAAATGATGTTTCATTTAAGCTAATGAGAAGACCAAATTTTGGAGACCAAGTTTGTATTGTTTGTCCTCTCCAGAAAGAGTGAAGAATCCATATTAGGTTCTTAGGACATGTAATGTGATCATGACAATATGGTAATTAAATAAAGTTGAGCATCTATTTCAACTATTCTACAACACTGAACAAAAAGAGAAAAAATACCTACAAATCAAAAAAAAAAAAAAAGTTCAAAATCTTTACTGAATTCGAATTACCTTGTGTGGCCTCATTAAGAAATTATATTGGTTCTGGAGATGGAACTCTTTGAGTTGGAGCGCAGGACTTTTCTATTAAGGTGAGATACCTAGAGAAGAACAGAAAACATCAAATATCAACTTCAAATACCTGAGTACTCTTTGGTTTTTTGGGTTTTTTTCTTTCTTTCTCTTCTTTTTTCTTTCTTAAGTAATTGAATTCTTGGGACTTCTAGGAAAGGTGGAAATAGCAAAAGCTTTGTAAAGAAATCTCTACCAAAGTCTCTTCTTGATTACTTTGTCCCTGAATGAGAAGTCCTTTGTAGTTTTGTTTCCATCAACTTGGTGGCCTTTTGAATTTGCCACAAACTACACAGTAGCCTCTGATTCCCAGGAACTTATTGTTTGTGCCATTTCTGAAGCCAGAGCTGTTTTATCATTGATCCTCTCAATGGTTTCCAACCCTCTTCTTGAACTGCAAACCCTGTTTTTGTGCTGTAACTCTGTGCTACCTGTCACATCCTCTAATCCAGAAATTTCTATCCTGAGTAGAGCCACTTCCTCCCAGGGACAGAAAGACTGTCTTCATCTAGCACATTGTCTTTTTGTTCCTCCCCATGACTTTAACTCAGCTTGCCTGGATTTGCCTTGGCTATCTGCTTCTTTCCTAGCTTCCTTCTAAGTTTTTCTGAGAGGTTTTCTGGGGCTAACTTAGCTGCCTAAAGCACAGAGAAGCTTACAGGCACTGAAGGAGGTGAAATTGCAGTAATTATTCTTTCAGAACATTAAGATAGGGAAAAGGTGGATAAATGTCTAGGAAAAGAAAAAGGTAAGCCAAAATCAAAGACCTTTCACAGGAAAGACCAGTGAACACCCAGATCTCTGCAAAAGTGCAAGACAAGCACAGTTTCATTAATTTTGAATTATAGGCAGGAAAATAAAGTCAATCAGGTACTGAAATGTTAGACTTGGCTTTAAACAGGACACAGTCCAGAGCAAGATACAATTTTTCTCCTGTAAGGTATTGCTCTCACAAAACGAGGAAGAAGCTTTGTATGCTTTGTATGCAATTAAAACTTTCACAGAGAACCCTTGGTATAGTTACCAGCATTCAAGTCAAGTTACTAGCATATTGGAATACACCTAGGCCAAGTAAGACATAGTTAGTTAACAGATGTATATCCACAAAGTCCAAAATACTCCTAGTCACATGTCATTTGAGACCAAACAATATATCCTGCAGGTTACCCTTTCCTAAAAGGAGGTTTCATACTGAGCTTTGCACTCCTGCTCTGTGTGCCAGACTTGATGACCTCTGATGGAATGCAAATATATAAAGATGAGCCATATTTGCACCAAAAGAGATAATTAAAGAGAGGAAGGAAATTAAAAAAGAGAAAAATACATTGCAAATTTCAGAAAATCTACCTAATAGTGGAATAAGTGGATTGAGGGATAAATGGTCTCCCAAGAGATAGAACAGAAAGGCTATCTGCTTGGATTAGTACTAAATGGAATGAACAAAACACTAGAAATTACATTGCAAGGAATAATATTGCACTGCCAGGGGAATGGTCAGGATAATATAATTGTACTGTTTATCTCCAACCTCCCAAAACTGCAGGAGTTAGTATAATGAAAAACACCTTTTTATTCTCTTACTTTGTCACTCCTCTACTCTCAAACTCTTTCTTTTATGCTCCCAAGAACAGCTTTTGACATGATATTAGGATATGTCCACCCTGAAAAGAAATGAAAAGAAGAGCACCTGTTCTGATTGCTCATCAAACAGCAGTGATAGTCCTAGAAAAGCTGCTGACAAAGAGAATGCAGGAGACTCCCAGTTATGGGTTTTATTTCTGTTTTTCAAGGGAGAACTCCCCTTTGGAAACAGCCTTATGACAGCAGGCCAGAGGGGTGACATACGTGTGAACATATGTCAGTGCCCCCCGTGGTAATGTACATGCAAACATATGGCATTGCCCTCCTGGTGCATATTAGCTGTCAACAGACACAGGAAGGACCTTGCCCTGGTTATGTTTCTTATCATCCATATGGTTTTCTATTGCTCCTGATAGCAGATAAATTACAACTACTTCCAAAATCTCTGTCTAATAATAGTTTGTGTTTATTCCAAATATAGATGCTTACCCTTTCCCTTTGGTACTTTCACAGAATTCATTGAGAACCAAGCAACATTTTTTCATTGCATTGTAGGACTGATGATTTGAAAATGGGGGGAAAAAAAGAGAAGAGTCAACACACACACAGAGCTAAGGAGATGAATATCTGGAAGTAAACTTGAAGCTTGACACCTGTAACTCAGAACGGACTCAGCCACATGGGAAGGAAAAGCCTCCCTGCCACATTGCACACGCCACTGTGGTAAACACAGAAAATCAGGACAGTGGCCCAATATGAGGGGAAAATGCTTCCCTAGATATTTTACAAAATGACATGATTCTATGAAAAACTGAGTTGGAAGGTAACACAGTTACCTCAGCATATGGACTCATATATTTCTAGAGAGAAAGTAATCTGCTAGACATTTTATAGTGAAAACTCAACTGGCAAAAGCACAGACCATCTCTAGATGATGCTGAAGTTAATACTTTCAAAGGCTAGTTACATGAACTGTAAAGAGAAGGGATCCAAAGAGCAGTTAGCAATGCTTCTGCATTAGTTTACTACCTTGTTGTCTATTCCAGACATAATCCCAAACCTCTAGGCAGCCACTTCAATTAGTTCAATCATAGGCCCTAAAGTGGTGTAAACCACAAAGTGTACAAAATGAGTGTTTGCTTGAAAGCACTACTGTAAGTGACAACCCAAAGTCTGAGAGACAGGAAAATCACACAGCTGTCCTGCCCCCATAAAGTCAATCTCCTTGTCTGTTCACTTTCACACCCCAATATCTTAGCACACTGCACATGTGGGAGCTCCCATTTGTTTGCTGTACATCCAAGAATAGTGTTCAGTGTTTCTGTTGACAAAGAGGAACACATATGCATTGCACTAAAACAAGCAACATTATTCTTGAAATTCAGATCTTAGTGTGTTGAAACTCTGGTCTAAATATGTCAGAGCATAGTCAGACATCTGATTTGTCCTTTCCTGTTTGACTGGCAGAAGAATATCTGACCCATAAGATTGGTAGTTGCACAGATCAAGTTTGCAGAAGTACAAAAGAACAAGGGCAACAAATCACAATACTTCCTTATAGTAAAAAAAAATGTTGTGGGTTTGTGGTACTTCAATTCAGCTTAGATGATCTTGTGGCACTAAGAAAAGTCTTCCAAGATTGCATGTCGGTAAAATACATTTGAATGGGTTTATGCAGAAGCTCTCAAAACAATTTTCTATGTCATGTACATAATACGATTGGCATGAAAGACTCAGCCTAGCAAAGAATCAAGAATCATAACATGAGTTCCATGCTATCAAGAATCATAACATGAGTTCTTAGGACTATTTCAAAAGCATTTTAGTGGATCAGAACTAGTTTTATTATTTTTAACTGGATTTAGTATAGTAATCACAAAGAATCAAAAGCTGAGAGTTGTACACAATAGCAAATGCTACATGGAGATAAATATTTCTCACTTTCAGTAATTACTGGAATGATTTGGTGAAGTTATGGTCAATGACTGTTCCAAACTAAATACATTTGTAATAGTCTAGGAATATTATAAAAATCAACAAAGAACAAAAATTTAGGGCACATTGATGGGGTTGTCTCTATCTTTCAGGTGGAGAGAACTTTATGACAGGAAACAACAATAGGTTAAGGTAAACAGCTTATTTTGCCTACCTTCATATTTCAATACAGTAGTTCAATATAACCACATTTCTCCAAAGACTTGTATTCTGTTATTGAAAGGTAATGGTGGGAACCAACTTAAGAACATGTAAAATGCAAGATTTTTTAATCAATGAGAAGCTATTAATTTAACCAAGCCTTCCTGTAATAATATTGAGACAGACTGTCTGCCTGTTTTTACATTATAGCTAGCTTTGCAATCTGTACAGAATATAATGAGGTGTGTACATTTTGTGAATATATTGATTGAGAGCGGTCCGTAGGAATCTAATGCTGCCAAAAAGTTGGTATTGCTCTATGATTCTTGAGTGGTTTGCTTTCTGGAACAACCAAGTTGTTATTTTAGTAGTTGTTGACTCTTGCCACTCACTACATGTAGAATTCATTTAGTTTATCTTCACTAGATCACATTAAGCTCAGACTTAAGTTTAGACTTTATGTGATCCAATTACTGATTAACATGGGGATTACTGATCTGACAGATCCCCATGTTAAACCACACTGATGCATCACTTGACAGGTTCATTAAAGTCATTGTGCATGTGTGGTTCTGCAGCAGCAGGATTCCTCAAGTTCCCAAACCACCTCAGCCGCTAATCTAAGCAATTCTTGACCTGACATATTTGGAGTCGACCAAAAATTCAAGGCAAAAATTTGAGGTGGACAATGTAATTTTTAAGACTTACAGAAACCAAATGGATCTTCTTAATCTAAAAACAGGCCTTAGTTTAAGCATCTTTATCTCACTTTCATGATGTATCACTGCATTCTGATTTCAGCAGAATCATCCACAGCAGAAATCCAACAAATAATTATATTTTTATCAACTGTGGCTTTATCATAGATTTTATTAATAATTGTTATTAGCTTAGAAGACATACAAAAGAGAATCTATATTATTTTTCAAATAATTGAAAACTTAAGAAGCTTTTTTGCTTGCTGATTTCTTCAACTTAGTTCTATAGTTATTTGGTATATTCTTTGTACGAACTTTTTGGTGTAGTATCTGAGTACGTTTCATTAGTGCATTAAGCAATATAACTAATGTCTGAAACATGATACATACTCTGGAAAAGTTTCACTCTGTATGGAAAAACAAAACAAATCTACTGGATTGTGGAAAAAGTAGAATCAGTGATACTTCAGTGTAAAATACAGCTGATAGGAAAAAAACTAGGTATTTGGGCTTTTCGGAAATGTCAAGGTTCTGCAACTTGTGCTTATCCCACATAAGGAAAAAGCTGGGGAAAAGAGAGAAAAAAACACCTTGTGGGTAGGACAGTTTTGCAC